AATTGGACCCAGTTACTGACTTGGCCTGAGGGTCTGCGTCAAAGGCGTGCTACTTGTATGCACGGCAATAATTATGGGCACCCGCGGACTTTCCGCGACTCAACCAACGCTTTCCATTAGTTAATAGGACCCTGTTTTGATCAGGCGTATCTCCATCGAAGCCCATTGCGGGGTTATATTTCCATATAGAATGCCTAGTACAGACGTCCAGATGACGTGGAATGCTGCCGGGTCAGCTTTATTGTCGCGCATTTGATGCACCCACAACAATATAAATTTGCCGAGTTTGATTAGTAAGCAGCATCTTCCGAGGATGCTTGTAAAATCTTTCGCGTGCAGCGTTGCGGCATAGACACCACCCTCACGTTTGCTAACAGTCGCGTTTTTAGCTGTATGCGGACACAACATGAATGTGACGGGAGCTGTGCGAGGTGTTGCACGTTCAACTGTAAATTGAGATCGTCACTGTAGAGGCATCCATTCTCATAACATATCTGTAATCAGTCTGTCGTGCTTGAGCCTATCACGACGCGCTATCAGTCGTGGCTTGAAGGCTCGTCAACTGGCTGGGTAACTCCGTCCTCTCAGGACTGGGGGTCAAGATGAAATAACTTCTTAGTGTAATCGTAATGGAAGTCGCAATTATGTGAGATCCGATACCTCCTTAGGGACACCCTGGACATGTGAAGTAGATCCGGATCGTATGTGACACTCGTACATAGACTGTGTAACTTTGTCAATTACTGCGAACGTGCCCGCCTCCGGTCGTCTTAATTTTGTATCACCATCAGGAGACGGTAGGTGGCGTTGGAAGAGAGAGTGGGACTGATGCTGCGTAAGTTTGTTTTACGACAAATAAATCCACACGCAAATTACCACTGGACCAGCACGCACAACTGTAATAAACGGGATAAGCGACTATAGATCTCGACACTTTGCAGGACTCTGTCACTTATGATGGCTTTAATGGGGGATTCAAGACGTCAGGCGAACAAAGCCCTTGTACCAGAATTACTCACTTTCTTCCCGAACTTAGATGTTTTTTCTTACCAGATTCCGTTAATGGGACATGCGGAACGCGACCAATATCAGTTGTATATTTATGGAGGGTCCAAATAACTCATGGGTTTGGGGTCCGAACTTATTATTTCCAGTGGCCACCACACTGTGAGTCGGATTCAGTAAACCGAGAAGGCTTATCTATTTTCGACGGGATATGACGCAGACAGGATCTCCGGTTCCGTCCTGCCTATGGATAATGACTCCATTCTTAGGTTAACAGCGGTTGGGGAGGCCTTATTGGATGGCTGAAAATATTCGCTGTATCATAATACTGTTTTACTATCGTACACTTATGGGTTACTGATTTTCCGCGTTGATTTACAATCACACCTTAAGGCGTTACGGCTGCGTAAATGACGACAGCGTATTTATCAGACTTGGGGCCTCTCGTTTCCTAATTAACCACCATGGAACGTCGATCCTCCACCCCTAACCTGCGGACAAACTTGGTGGTTTTGAGAACATGGAATTGCCAGAACAGGAACTTTGTTTGCGTGACGTTTCGGATTCTCATCCCAGCCCATCATCATACGCAGTCGCAAATGAGGATGATGGACGCAGAAGGGGGAGGGGTGTAGTATTTATGGGAGTAAACAATCATCGCACTAAGTACGATCTCGGTGATAAATGCAGGCTGCCAACTGTAATAGGTATGTGGTCGCATAGCAACTGCACCCCATAAATTCTTCATTCCTCCTATGTCCATTATCCTTATCCACGACTGTTGCCGACGAACGGTTCTAGTGAGAGTCCGAACCGCCAGACGAGCAAAATTATTGTTTTAGTAATTGCATCTGCTTCTGGACTGCCTTCTGGAAATCACCTCGCCTTCATCTACCGGACACTCGCCACCTTTGTATGTTTGTTTCTCGTAGTCTTCTATTTGTTTCATATTCCCCATGTCTGCCGTTTTCTTTTTGCATATTTTCTTTCCCAGTATGTTCCCTGGGTGTTAGAAGTAGTTGCAGTTCACTAGAGTGGGTGTGCACGTGAGCCGCAGAACTTGCGAGCCAAGCTCGCAGCGAACTTAAAGGACGGTTGGGATAGTAAATAGTCCATCAACGGAGGGTACCGTCATTTCTTATTGCTTGTTTATTTTAGACCAATATCGGTGACAGGGCCTCGGATATGACCGTAGACAGTAAACCAAACGATCTATATGCCAAGAATGAAGTTTTCGAAGACGAGCGAGGCAGGCTGAGTGTCGCAGATGTGTCGCATATCAGCGTGTATGATGTACAGGACGAAGTTTCTCCCAGCCGTGGTTGTCCATGTTTCAAAAGGCGTCGAATTCCTGTTGGCGACATCGAACATGAAAACTGTCACCTGTCACAGTGCCCCACTTCGACGAAAAAGAACTCTAATACGGGTAATGTTGCCAACCGCCTCTTTAATTTGCGTTTCGCAGTATCCTTCTTCGCCTTTCATAATAAACGTAGACCTCAGCTAGGGCTTCAACTTCACCCTCTTCTTCTAGGTTCCCTGCATCCACTGTATGTGCTTGATTTATTGACCGGCTAGGCTTCATCATTGGGTTACTTTGTCTATTGTGCTTTACTTGCCTCCCCACCATGATGACCTTGCCAGTTACCAGCCCAACTAATTACTCGTGTCGCGGCGAAGACTGTTTAAAATTCTGCACCACTTCTTAGCCCCAGTTGCCTTTTCACCACGATCCTGTTTCCCTGTCATGGTTACCTCATAACACCTCCGTCTACTTTCCTTCTCCGGCGGGGACTAAGATTACAGTTGTTTTATCACAGATGTTGCTTTCCTGTAGGGTGAGATAATTTCCTCCTAAATGGCTCTTGTTTGCACGTGCGTTAGACTTCTTCATTGGGTGACTCGTTTGTGCGGAGCATGAAAAACGATAGAGAGGGTACGCTAAAAGTTTAGAAAATCGGAACCAGTAGTTGTATCTACTTTCCAGTTTATGTGAGTTGTATATGTAGTCGGCAGTCGGCACTTGTGCTTTTATGGGACGCAGTAAATTCCAATGTTGTTGCTAGTTGCCTCTGCCGACATCGCTGGATTGTATAGTAGTGGGCCCATGGGCCTTCTATGGGCTTTTTGCACCTAAAGGTGAAATACCTCTTAGTGCCTCCATTCCTGTGGTGGTGACAGATTTCAACAACTCATTCCCTCCTTTAAGAATCAAAAGCAAATCAACGCTTAAGAAATGGATCGAAGTCAGCAATCTGTTACGATTTGAATATGTTGTGTGTTGAAGTAACCTGCCCCTGCCGTGGTGACGATATCCCCTTTAGACCGTAAAATTATTTTACTGACTAGTGTCTGCTTTTGCTGGCTGGACTGGATGCTAATGTCCGCTTTCCAATTTGTTTACTTGTCACTCCCGTTGGCATAATTATTCGTCATCATAGTTAGCTTATATGTTTATTTCTTCGTTTACACTGTGTCCTCAGTGTTCGTCGATTCAAGGCTTTTATCCTTGCTACCAGTCTGGGCACAGATTACTCCGACTTTCAGAATATATGTCTGAAGGCGATTGTTTTATTGGACCACAAA